TTCCGGATTAGACAGTGGTCGTTCTCCCGTCGACCCTTTTCAAGTAAAAAAATAATTAACTAAATTTATGTATTTATTTAAAAATTTATTTAAGGAAATTATATTTCAAACCAGTGCATCGTTCCACTTGAAACTGTTTCAGAATATACACTAACTAATTCAAAGACCCTTCATTATTTCATGAGCTATAATGGAAAATCACCTGGACCGACTAGAATAAGGTGACAACTCCGGCCGCAACAGTGCGTTGTCATAGCGGATAAGTTTTACACCTCAGCAAGCAGGGCTGACGGTTGCTTGTAGAATATTGTTCAGACTGGGTCTCCAATTCCGTCCGGCCTTTTATGGAAGATACCTCTGTTAGATGTCGACTAACCGACGTCTAGTTGCAAGGCAGTGGTCACTTTGGCGGCAGTTTCCCTTCAAAGTGTCGGGACGTTTTCAGCTCGACTTGACACTCTCATCAAGTATTGTAACTTTTTCTCTGAGGATCGAACTAGTCGAGCTGGAACTGGGCCGCACCCTGGTGGCATCAGCCCTGCCTGTCAGCGAATGAGTATTCGTCGCAGCTAATTTCTATGCCAAGAGGCCATCGCGCTATCCGCAGCCAGGGGTCGCGCCAGATGATCAGCAGCTAGGCACACGTATTGCAACAACTGACCCTCTAATTCGATTTGAATAAATAAAATTTTACACCGATTCATCTTCATGGACCATTGTATAAATGTTTGTCGTGATATGCTGACTTTGTTTTACAAACCATCGGATGTGGAAGTACAACTTGAGTAAAGAGTAAACAATCATGCTGCAAACGTTACTCGATAGTGAACAGGTTAATAATTTCTAAGGCCGAAATCGTACCAAAGATAACTTGAAGGTAATAGGTCTTCCGATTTCATCGTTGGGGACACGAGAAACAAGAAACTAGATTTATTTATAAAAAATCGTTCGAAACATTGCAAGTATTTTAAATAAAACCATTTCTTTGTTTCTGGTGCTGCCAACCATGGAATCAGAAAACCTCTTACCTTTAATACGGTTTAAAAATCTTATAATTACAAGCACACATGCAGTTGAGGCATTAAGCGTTTATTTCACAATCATTTTCCGGTCGAACAAAACTGGGTATTACTAAAACTATAAACAAACTATTTAATTGTCTGAGGACTCGCAGAAGAAACGAGCAGAGTCAATTCAACTCTTCCTGATTTTTAGCTCCAAAACGACCAGTCCCCTGCGAAAAAAGAACCAAATACGAGTTAAAAAATGAATCTAACTCAACTTTTACAAGGCGTTTTGACAAATGAGGTAGGGTTTCGACCAGAACGAGTTCAGAATAGCACAGATGACATCGTTTTTACTGAATCGCAACTTACTACAGCGGATCTCAAATGATCTTTAATCGGGTACGTCGATACAGTTCTGTTGAGGTAGGTGCGAAGCAGCCATGGGACTTCACCGCATCGCCAATTTGGGAGGAAGTCTTTCGGAAACTGTAGGGCTCGAAACGTCAAGCTCGGGCAGAACCAGCGGCGGAGTTTTAGCTTAGAGGGACCGAGGCATAGTCGCGTGGTTCGATACTACCTCTCTACCTCTTGCCATTACAACAGACTTGCTACTACCGAGAAACACAGAAGCCGTGAGGTTCATCCTTACTTTTGAGCACTGGAATACATGTTGAACAGAACGCCATACTTTCCGACATGTGCAGTCGGTGACAGAGGTCAAGTCGACGCGCAACGACTGTGGCCGGGCAGTGCCACGCTGGCGAGGGCGACAATGAACGAAGTGACCACGACCCGAAGTCGGACGGGAACCATCGAGATCAAAAGGATCACGTGGCCAGCAGATAACGTTATGAATTTATGATCATTTGTCGGTGTGTACGTATGTCAGTACCGTGACACGGCGTCGTCCAGAGAATGAACGATCGTGTTCCCCGGACCAGGTCGTGAGTAATGGCTGACCCATGCGATGACACTTAGCGAAAGTCAAAACAGACCAGCAGTTTACTCAAAAGCTGAAACGGCAAGGTCAGAGGCTAGCCACAGACCAAAGTCAACATCCACTGAGTAGACGACAAAATATAAGTTCGACAACCGACCCAGGTGGATTTACAATTATGTCAAAAGTGCACAATTTTACAACTGACATCATTACAAAATGAACGTAAAATTCTCTGCTGCCAAAACTTCATGACTTTTATTTGTAATAACACCGACGACATTTCGACACTGACGAAAAGCATACCGACTGCCATACGCCAGTCCAAATACTGTCGTTGTTCTACAAACAAACATTGCAAACGGCCATGGAAATTTAAATTTATGCTCCTTCCCACGTCAGGAAACTTAGAACGCAATTTATTCGACTTCATAGGAAAGTTATCATTGAAGTAACGAAAAAATCGGAGGTAAGTACAATTGTGAGGGGTCGGTTTCGAATTTCGTAGACGACGGTTTCG